GAGATATAGCACAATATAATTTATCAAAAAGATTTTAAATATTGACATATTATACCCGTAGCTATATTATGTTAATCATCTTGTTTACGAAATATAACTACCATAAATTCAACTCTTAACGCTCATAATATACAAATATAGTTATAATTTAACTAAAAATTACTACTTAATAGTAAATAACCTGATATTCTAACAATTTTATGAGGAAACTTTGTTATTTAAGATTAGTTATATTACATTGTAAAGTGTAGTTTTGTCTTGTTTTAATTGTAATTACCTCTAAAAATTGACAAAGTGAAAGCAACTTCTTTGTTTTAGTCATCAGTTACAAGTTACAACTCAGACATCCTTCTTTCTTTTTCTCGCTCAATCAATTTAGGTTTCATGTTTTTGGCATTGGGCGACGAGCATTGAGATTTAGGGTTCGAATACAGGTGAAGAACAGAACTCAAGTTTCGGTATGCAACTATTGGTTTCTTATGCAATAATATTAAATTTAAATATAACATGCATCTTTTTCCATGGACTACGTATTTTGTCTCATGATACATGATACTCGATTTGGCTATTGCTCAGGATAACCCTTGGATTGTAAATATTAGATTTTAATATATTTCTTTTCCTTTTACATTTGAATGAGAAATAGGCAGAATCGTTGGTCCTTCTTTTTTCTCTTTTCTTTATTCATTTGCTAAAATTAGAATAACATTTTGTTCTAAACAATTAAATAAAAAATAATTCAATTTAGTCCTCAAGAATATTTAGTCCCTCATGTATACTCAAATTAATTTTTGAAGTTTTTAAACCCATGACATGATCTTTTTGTTGACATGACCCTTTTTTTAAATAGACAGAATCACTTTGGTCCTTCTTGTTCTTGTTTCATCATTCTTCTGGTAAACTAGTATTGTGTTTTGCTCCAAATGTTATGAAAATGAATATTTTCATTTTTCATATGTTTTTTTAAGGTCATAACCAGTTAGGAGTTGGCAAATTGATTAAAAGGATTATGTTCTTTTAGTTATCCTTTATATTTCGTATTATGATGTGCTTGCAATGGAAAATGAGCGTAAAAATGCTTAAAAGATGCATGCATACATATATAATATTATTTTTCTATTCCACTTTTGTATATCTAAAACATAACTTTGCCCGTCCATAATTTGGCTGGCAGGAAGTGGTGGTGGGACCTGAAAATAGAACAATGATCTCTGGTGATAAATTTTTTAGGGTTAATCTTATTGGAGATTTTGTTGGGTATACAACTATACCATCTTTTGAGGATTTCTATCTTGTTGTACCAAGGCAGGTACGTTGTTTGTGACATTTGAAGGCATATAAAGTTATGCTTCCTCACGCACAACGTATATGTGACACAAAATATAATATGTGTTTCTTTTATTGATCACACACATTGCAAGTCATGTTAATGGAAAAACAGACTAGAGGAATTGATATGTAATTGAGGGCATTATGAACCTTTTTTATCATGCCAAAAATGTTAACATTGTAGCTATATGTATATATAAGGGTTAGGAAAACATTTTTTTATTTACTTTCTAGAGTTTTCTCAATGAAGAATTCTTGCAACATGAAATTATATTAGACAATGTTATAATTATAAGGAGGCTTGTATATTGCAATTGCAAGTTCATAGGATTATGCTCTCTTAGTTTCAACGGTCTCCTCTTTGCACTAGGTTAGGCACTTTTTTCCCATTTTTAATCTAAGTCACACATTAATATTTGATAGGTTAATTTGGACCTTGATAGATTTAATACAATTGAAAATGATATTTAAAAATATTGGACCTTGATACATTTTTATCAATCTTGACATTACTAGTTTAGTTAAGGAAGAAATTATTGATGAACTACTTTTACATATTTTTGGCATGACTCACAACTTTACAAGCTTAAAAAAATGTTTGAAATTTTTCTTGTGATAGGGAAGCTTTGGTCAACCACAAGATTTGGGAAGAAACATTTCTATGTGGATGCTACTTGAGAGAGTGAGATTTACCTTAGATGGTATTGAATGTAACAAAATCAGTATTAGCTATGAAGCTTTTAATCAACAACCAAACTTTTGTTCTTCACCCTTTTGGACTTGCTTGCATAATCAACTGTGGAATTTTTGGGAGGTTAGTATTGCAACAACTGTTTTTTTTTCTTTAACTCTTATTCTCATCGTATTTTTTGTAAGTTTCATTTTTTGTTATCAATTTCTTTTTAGTTTTCAATTATATTTTTTGCAACTATATAGGTTCCATATTTGGAATGTTTCTTTGGTATTTTGCTTGTCTTTATTTCCTGCTCTGGGACCACATTACCAAGAGTCCGAAACGTTTAATTATTATTGTTAAACAAGGATCACAAAGGACTTTTAGTAACTTTAACACCTAAAATTGAGCATGTAGGTGCATACACACTTATCTATAATTTTAAGACATGTATGATTGCATCAATAAACATAAAAATTATTTTGTATTAAAATGTCTCACATTGACTAAGAATAAGACAAAAATACTCCTTATAAGGATTGGACAATCCCTTGAGTTAATTATACTTCATTTCTAATAATTTCAAATCCTATTATTTATATTTATCTAATAGTTAATTGAAAACTTAGGTAAAGTTTCTTAGAGTTTTTGAAAATTTGAAAGAAAATTTTATATCCTTAACAGGCGGACTTGAATCGAATGAGAAGGAATCAGATGCCACTCTATGGTTTGGAAGGAAGGTTTGAAAGGATAAACCAACATCCAGTTACGTTGCAATAATTTTGTATTTATATTAAATATGGTGTCTTTTATTAAAAATTATTATTTATTTTATTTTATAGTTTTGTTTGCAGAATGTTGGGAGTTATTCTTTCTTCATAGGAATTATAGAGGTTCTCAATACAAATCTTGTGTTAGAATTAAGTGAAAATGATGTAGAGTATGTATATCAAAGGTATTATTATTTTCTTGTCATATACATATGCTTCCAAAATAATATTTTTTTTTATATAATTATATACCTTTGATATGATGGATTGTCATGATTTTTCTTACACGTCTTTTTAAGCTTTGTATCAATGGTTACTTTCTTTAAAGATCATAGTTCATTGTTTTGCAGTAATTCACAATAGAATATTGTGATTTAGGGCTAAACAATTGTGATGATGTGCTTCCTATATATATTGGAGATGATCGGACAGACGAAGATTTGAATTCTCTTTGGCGCCAAGGGTTAATATTAACTATACCATGGTTTAATATTAACTCTTGGTCTAGTAGCTTCTCAAGCACATTTCCTAGAGCCTATAAATCACTTAGGTCCGTGTAACTCTTCACTTTTGGCATTTATGAGATTCATTTCTTCTAAAATTGAATCCCCACCGAAAGTCATCTTTTCTCTCTTCCAAGGAGAACTCACTCCTTATCTCCTTGAGCCTTCCTCTTTGGAGCTTTAGGAGTTCTTGCCGGAGTTGCTAGCATCATTGGATCATCATTGATTCTCAAGCTAGTTTCAGTCTTGAAGATCCTTTTGGTTCAAGCTTGAGAATTCTTCTCAATTCGATCAAGGAGCTTGCCATATAGGAGCTTCATCAAGTGGTATCTAGAGCATTGGTTTCATCAAGAGATAAGTACTTAATCTTTTGATGAATGTTTTTCTTTCTTGATCCTACATCTTCGCTTCACATGTTCATGAGTAGAGTTTCTTCCTAGATCTAATTCCTTCATCTCATGATAGATCTAGCTTTATTTTGTCAGAAAAAGTGATTCATATCATGTTGTTTGCTTAATTGATCCATATGAATCATAAGCCATAAAAAACGTTAGGCTTCTATCTTGAGTGCATTTTTAATTTTTGAGTCATCCTCATTTTGAATTTTGATTCAGTCATATGCTTGAGTTTGAGTCATTTAAATTTTTTAATACATTTAAATTTTCATTAGAAGTCATGTGTAGTTCTTAATTGTCTCATAATTCCTAGTATGTGCTTATTAAACTTTGTTCTTTTCTTTTGACCAAATAATACATGTGCTTTGGTGCTTTTGATTTTAAATCATTGAGTTCATGAATTGCTATTAGATCATTAGTAATTCTCCTTAGAGTTAAGTTTCCATTGTGTCTTTATTGTTTGTATTGATTTGATTCCAAGAAAAACTCCTTAAAAAAAATTTGTGATCAACTTTCTTCAAATTTTTGGCTAATCTAGTAGATCAATTTTGGTGCATGAGCTTGCTTGTTGAATCTGGAAAAGTTGCTAGAAAAATAGAGGAAAAATAAAACAATTGAGTAAAAAAAATTTTAGAAGGAAACAAGCAAAAGTTTGATTAAGAACATGCACTAAAAATTCAAACAATATTGACTACTTTTAGTTGAAAATTTTTAACCAATTTGGATTCAATTTGAATGTTGTTGTGGCTGGAATATTTTTTCTGGAAAAAAGGCAAGAATATCTCCTTTGATTTAAAAAGAAATTGAACAAGAAAGATTTATATAAAAAAAAGAACACAAATAGAAAAAGCCAAGGAGAATTAAAAGAACATTGACATTGAGTCACTAATTTGAATCCGGATTGCAACTCTTGTTTGAATCATCTTGTTCTTTCTTTTCATTCTTATTCTTTTGGTTTTTGTTGATCTAATCTAGCACCATTCTTAGGTATATTCTTTCTTGAAGCTAGCTAAATTCTTTCATTCAAATACAATCTCTATTCTACTTTTGACTTTCTTTGATTTCTCAAATTGATTTGGCTGTCCATTTGTCATTAGAATTCTAAATGATGATCCAAAAGAATGCTAATTCTACTTGCTAGAAACTAAGGCTCCGAGGGTCATCAAAAGGAAGCTAAGGTAGCTTTGAAGGAGGTGTTTGAATTGAAGGAGTTTCGGATTCTATACCATAGAAATTTCTCTCAAAAGTCATTCACACAACTTTAAAGAAAAGCATACAACAATTTGTGCATTGGAGGAAGAAGTCTCTCGGCCAGAATTGTTTCAACCAAAAATATTGAGAAAAATTTGTAACAAAATTTGAAAAACAAGATTTAGAAACAAAATTAGTGACGGAAATTTTCATTACAAAATTTTTAGTTGCTAAATCCGTCCCTAAATTCCTTTCTAAATTCGGTGGCTAGTTTTCTTAAGTTTCAAGGCCACTTTTGAATTCAATTCAGAATTTGTGTTTATTTTCTCTTTTGTTATTGAATAATTGGAGTGTCTTGGAAGTGTCATGGGTACACAACCATCTCTCCATAGGATTTGTAGTGGCGTTAGTACTTGGTGAAAGTAGCCCTTGAAGGTCTTTGGTACCTCTCAAGCTTTCACCTTAGGAATTCGTCTAGTTAGTCTTTAAATCTTTGTTGTTTAGATTTTAATTGGTTTCATTAACGTCTAGATAGCTCACTAGCACAAAAGGATAAAAAAAATTCATAAAACAATTTTTTTGGTGAAGATTAGCTACAAGGTGGATTAGTAATTTTTACCCGAAGAGTCTTGGTTATTAAGTGACTCTTAGTAGCTCACCTCCCTCCAAGGTTCAATTTGTATACTTAGTCCATCAAGTACTTAGTCTAAGCCTTTCAAAATTTCTTTTCAAAAGTCTTTTATAAAAGAAAAACTTTTGCCTATAATGGAATATTTTTCCCTTCATCAAAGTGATAGTGATACAAGTGCCTACAAAGATTTTTCAAAAGTAGCACATGAGTTGAAATCACTAAAACTTTGGAGAGAGCAAGAGGCCAAACAAAAGATTAAAGAGAAAATTGAAAGAGAGGCCCAACTTGCAATCTTAGAGGAAGAAATCCGAATTTTTAAGTAAAAGGAAGAAAATTTACACATGAAGCACCGAAGTAGACATGGAAGTTCTCAATCCCATAGTTCAGCCTTAGGGGTATCTATTCATGAGGAGAGCCTAGCTATAGGTGATCATTACCAACCCCCTCCTAGAAGGACCCATAGGACACCCAAAATTAGGGAATCCAAAGTGGATCTCCCTTATTTTCATGGAAAAGATGATGTAGAAGGGTACCTTGATCAGGAAATGAAGGTTGAACAAATCTTTTCTTGCCATCAAGTAAGTGAAGAGAGAAAGGTGTCTCTTGCTACATTGAGTTTCCAAATCCATGCCATGTATTGGTGGACATCCCTTGTTAGGGATAGGCGTCTCCATAATAATCCTCCAATTCAATATTGGAATGAGTTGTGGAGTGCATTAAGGAGGAGACACACACCCTCATGCTATACTAGGGAGCTTATGAACAAGCTTCAAAGGCTTCAACAAAGACAAATGAGTGTTGAAGAATATAGCCAAACTATGGAGCTATATATGATGAGGGCTGGGATTATGGAAGAAGTAACATAAACTCAAAATTCACAGGGGACCACCATTTTCATGATAACAAACATCATCACAGGCAAGAACTTGGGCACCCTAACTATAGTTCTCAACATAGGCAAAAGACCAGTTATGAGCATAAACACAAGCATTCTGAAAGGAATTCTGATTATTTTGATGATTTACACCATATTCATAAAGATATGCACAAGCGTGGACATAAAAAAAAGAATATGGATAATGTGCAACATGTTTTTGACCATCTTGCACATCACAAACACAGAAAGAAACAAAAAAGTTCAAAGAGACTAGATAAAGTGACGGAGCTAAAGCATGATAAAGTGAAGCGAGAAAATCATGACAAACATAAACAAGTTCTGCTAGAGGAGCTAGAGGCTTAGTATAGATTGTAGCTCAAATGAATAATTTAATGTATATATTTTTTTAATTTTGGACATGAATGTTTAACCGCAACTTAATATTAATTTCATAGAATCATAGTGACACTTTATCCTTTTATTGTTTTTTCCCTCATTTCCACTAATACTCTTCTCCTTTTCTGTTACTTTCTAATAGGGTGGAGAGGATAATAATTTAGAAAAGAAAATTATAGAATGGTAAATTTAGAATGAAATGTGAAAGACATTTTTATGTAAAGGAAACATTTTATGTTTTTGAAAACCTCCATTTAACACTAAAATATTATGTGAAAGTCATTTGGAAACTATAAACCAAGAGTTCAAATGATGTTTCCTCTTTTGATGGATCGCCACCTAAAATATTCAAATGTTATAAAAAGAGAGACTTTGCATCTCAATTTAACACGTAGGATGTCATTTCATAATCTTACTGGCATTTCATTACCAAGCTATGGAGAATAATAGTCATTTGAACCTTAGTGAAGTTTGTTCCAGCACAATGGATCTTCATGTGATTACGAATCAATCATTTATATAATTTTTTTAATAATATGATAAATTACTTTCCAAAATAAACAATACTATTTCATAAAGTAATATCTAGAACTATGCATTATTTTTATTAAAATAGTTTTATAAATTTTTTAAAAATAATTGGACTTGTGCCCCTGTGTTGCATAGAAAATAAATTATTATAATAAATAAATTATATTTTAATAATTAATCTATATATATATAATTTTGAAAATTAATTGAATTCAACGCAATATGAAGAAAAATATCTGAATATACGAATAAAATGAGAATATTAGATGATTGAAAACATGACGATATGAAGTATTAGAAAAACTAAATTGCATTGTATTAGCTTCAAAAACACCAACATCTACAACATGAGCTAATGCATTAACTTGGAAAAGAAATCTTATAATTAACTTATAAGAGGTGTAATATTAAAATTCTATAAAGATAAAGTAATTCAAATAGGAAGGAAACTATATTAAATGTTTACCTTATACAATAATTATGTAATGACTCCTGAACACATCCAGCATGAAAAACAAACTTGGTGAAATGCTTGAAAAATTGGTAAAATTAAAACTAAAGTTGACATGTTTTGCTTTCATAATGTTATTATAAAAAAAATGCAATAAGTTACTTATGTCAAAGTCTAAAAGATTTCTTTATAAACTACATTAGTAGTAGATATTGAACCATTTACCTCATCGTCACAAATAAAAATTTTCATACTATTGCGAGATGTGTCTCAAGATATTGCGACATATAATTGGTCATGTGAGAAAACAGGTTGTGGAAGATAGATGACAACATGCTTCAATGATTTTCCTTGACATTTATTTATTGACATGACAAAGGAGATATTC